AAAAAAAAAAAAAAATGTACAGGACAAAGTATTCTTCAATGAAATATTTATTAAAATCGTCCTTTTGTATTCTAAAATAACATCAAGTTCATGGGAGTATAACTCCACCAGTCTGAGGCTTAGGGCTAGTAGATGTATAACAGGACTAGTGAAAATGTTCAATGTTTTCTCTGAAAATATAGTCGGGCCAATAGAATTTATCAATAAACTAGTACTCTAAATAGAAAATTGGACATCCTTATGATTACCTTACATAGTTCATCAAAAGAAGAATAACTACTTTATTACGAACAGATGAATTTTATTGTAGACAATGTCAAACTTACTCTGTGGGAAATTTGCCCTTTGAGTGACAGCCGAGACAGAGATCGAAGTCGTCACATTCATTACAGTGAATCCTGGTGCCCACTATGAACGCCTGACATTTGTTACACTTGTACCTGTTGACAAAACAAGTCTGAACAAAAAGTATCTATAGCATTGTTAGGCAAAAATTGTCAAGTGGGATATCAAGTAACTTCTGTAAGCTAGAGGTCAATAAGTACAAAAGTAGTTCACATTCAAAGTCCTGTTATTAAATTCCTTAACAGTAAGTCTTTAATTCAGACCTGCCAAATCCTTCTTAGTAACTACATTAAATTTTAGACTGACAAAATTTACTAGATTGACTAAATTTACTAGATTGACTGCTACCTTCAACATAGTCCAACTTACATAAGCAACAAATATACCCCCATCCCCCTCAATCACCATGTCTGACAGCGGGTGTGAAGACTTACACGAGATGGACCATGTCATGGTCGTCAGAGTGATCTCCCTCTGGTTTCACTCCTCCAGCGTAACATGTTGCACACAGATCCATGTCTACACACTGGAGACAGCGGTACCGCCGGCCTGGAAGGGTCACAGAACAGCCATCACAGCTAACCTCAACATCCAGCAAGTCACAAAATCTTGCAACAAACATCTGTACAGCCTGAAATGTCAAAATTATTACAACAAATTGAGATCAATTTCCTACAGAAGAGGAACAGAGGATCTGAAGCACTGACCTGGATATCAAAGCAATCATGGCAAAGTATTATCATTGAAAGTCACATTGCAAAAAAAACCTCAAGGGGCAGGGCCAAAACCCAGAGCTAACCCTGTTACACGTGCCATGAATATGTCCTCTCTTCCTACTTTTCAAGCATATTTAGTAAAGGATGGGGACCACCTCAAAGTTATGACAAAGGGATTAACTTCCCAGGGTTGTGGTCACGCCATAAGGCCAGTATCATTGAAGGATGACTGTTTGGTTTCTCCATTGCAAGAAAGCAGGCATATAGGTACAGGATGGAATCTCAACAATTTCGAAGTTATTACTCCCTTTTTACTCCGAGTCCTTTTTGCCCAACACCTTTTAGGTGACCTTTGGTCTGTGGGGATGCTGGAAGTTGTGTGAAGGATGTAGGGGTGTGTAGGACCCTCTGTTTGTATATTTTCGAAGTTCTGAATTATCACCATGCAAGGATATGCTTCATACCATAAAAATGTTGATATCAATCTTGTAGTTACAGAAGTGAAGTAAAATCAATATAGCCAAAATTACCCTTTATTGGCATTGCCCTTCCCCCCAAAAATAAATAAATTGTTCAACGTTGAATTTTTATCACTGAAGGAGTTTCCAGTCAAATATAGAGAAATGAAATTCAGTTCAGTGGTCTGAAGAAGAAGATGTTTGAAGATGCATTATGCAATTTTCAAGGAAGAGAAGTTGGTAAGATTATATCCAGAGGGTGTACATACCACCCCTTACATTGTTATAGATGAGTATGTACATACCACCCCTAACATTGTTATAGATGAGTATGTACATACCCCCCCTAACATTGTTACAGATGAGTATGTACAAAAACCCCCCTAACATTGTTATAGATGAGTATGTACATACCGCCCCTAACATTGTTATAGATGAGTATGTACATACCCCCCCTAACATTGTTACAGATGAGTATGTACAAAAACCCCCCTAACATTGTTATAGATGAGTATGTATATACCACCCCTAACATTGTTACAGATGAGTATGTACATACAACCCCTAACATTGTTATAGATGAGTATGTACATAGCACCCCTAACATTGTTCCAGATGAGTATGTACATACCACCCCTAACATTGTAACAGATTAGAATGTACATACCACCCCTAACATTATTATAGATGAGTATGTACATCCCACCCCTAACATTGTTACAGATGAGTATGTACATACCACCCCTAATATTGTTACAGATGAGTATGTACATACCACCCCTTACATTGTTATAGATGAGAATGTACATACCACCCCTAACATTGTTATAGATGAGTATGAACATACCACCCCTAACATTGTTACAGATGAGTATCTACATACCATCCCTAACATTGTTACAGATGAGTATGTACATACCACCCCTAATATTGTTACAGATGAGTATGTACATACTACCCCTAATATTGTTATAGATGAGTATGTACATACCACCCCTTACATTGTTATAGATGAGTATGTACATACCACCCCTTACATTGTTATAGGTGAGTATGTACATACCATCCCTAACATTGTTATAGATGAGTATGTACATCCCACCCCTAACATTGTTACAGATGAGTATGTACATACCATCCCTAACATTGTAACAGATGAGTATGTACATACCACCCCTAACATTGTTCCAGATGAGTATGTACATACCACCATCCCTAACATTGTTATAGATGAGTATGTACATACCACCCCTAACATTGTTCCAGATGAGTATGTACATACCACCCCTAACATTGTAACAGATTAGTATGTACATACCACCCCTAACATTATTATAGATGAGTATGTACATACCACCCCTAACATTGTTACAGATGAGTATGTACATACCACCCCTAACATTGCTATAGATGAGTATGTACATACCATCCATTACATTGTTACAGATGAGTATGTACATACCACCCCTAACATTGTAACAGATGAGTATGTACATACCACCCCTAACATTGTTATAGATGAGTATGGACATACCATCACTAACATTGTTATAGATGAGTATGAACATACCACCCCTAACATTGTTACAGATGAGTATGTACATACCATCCCCAACATTGTTATAGATGAGTATGTCCATACCACCCCTAACATTGTTATTGATGAGTATGTACATACCATCCCTAACATTGTTATAGATGAGTATGTACATACCACCCCTAATATTGTTATAGATGAGTATGTACATACCACCCCTAACATTGTTATAGATCAGCATGTACATACCACCCCTAACATTGTTACAGATGAGTATGTACATATCACCCCTAACATTGTTATAGATGAGTATGTACATACCACCCCTAACATTATTACAGATGAGTATGAACATACCACCCCTAACATTGTTACAGATGAGTATGTACATATCACCCCTAACATTGTTATAGATGAGTATGTACATACCACCCCTAACATTGTTA